CCTGATGAACATATTTTGATTTATTCTACCCAATGAACATACTTTGATTTATTCTACCTGATAAACGTACTCTGATTTATTCTACCCAATGAACATGCTTTGATTTATTCTACCTGATAAACATACTCTGATTTATTCTACCCAATGAACATATTTTGATTTATTCTACCCAATGAACATATTTTGATTTATTCTACCCAATGAACATATTTTGATTTATTCTACCCAATGAACATATTTTGATTTATTCTACCCAATGAACATACTTTGATTTATTCTACCTGATAAACGTACTCTGATTTATTCTACCCAATGAACATATCTTGATTTATTCTACCTGATAAACATACTCTGATTTATTCTATCCAATGAACATATTTTGATTTATTCTACCCAATGAACATGTTTTGATTTATTCTACCTGATAAACGTACTCTGATTTATTCTACCCAATGAACATATTTGCTAAGCTTCTCTACTTCTCGTATGTCAAAAATTATCTGCAGGGATCTGAGTATTTTTATTTATTAGAAAAACTACACTTTAATTCCCTTAGTTTTTCTATAAATTAGAAAAACAGTCGGCATCTGAGCATTTTCACTACATTAAAATCTATAGCGTGTTTCTGAGAGTCGCTGTTTTGGGGATTTTTTGAGATGTTGCTCTTCGATGATAAAAGCTCACTTTGTAAGACCATTTTTACTTTTGTCCATATAAGTCTGTGTTCTAAAGTATTTGGAGTAATTAATCAGTTAGGTATTTTCTTTTATTGTTGTATTTAGAAGGGGCCAACCCACCTTTCAAAGCAGCTTAACTTTTCGCTGAGAAAATATGTTCTATAATGTATTTTCGTCTTTCAATGTTATGAGCAAGACACTTAGTCTTACCTTTTCAATATTATAAACATGCTCTTTGAAGTATCTTTATATTATAAGAAGTGAAAGAAAAGCCTCAATGGTCAAAGTCAAGTAAGAACATGATAGTACCTTAATAGAACATGTGATGTAAGAATAAGTAGTACCTTTAAAGATTATGTCACATATAAATCCCTATAGCACCTTAAAGACAGTAAATATCAGGTAATATCAGAATAATAAGAACTTCTTCAAAGACCACACCTTTTTGTTGTTGTTGAAATGAGCGCGACTAAAGTGACTATCTAAATGACTATCTAAAGTACATTAGTTTTTTGACGAGATTAACCATGGACTTTTTTTTAACGTTGACTTATTTAACAGTATTAACGTTTTAGACTAGATAAGCACAGTCTGAACTTATTAATGAGATAAGCACATCGTTTAAAGCTTTTTTTTTCACAATGAACATACTCAAATATATCCTCTTGGCCAACATGTTTCTTTTAGTCCTAGGAGTTTTTCCGTTGAATGACATAGACTGGCTAGTCCTCAAAGTTTTCGATTAGATAATAACACCTTTTTAAGCTCATAATTTCCCTATAAGAAAATGACGTATCCTAGGCAATTGAACCTAAGATGAGAACGCTTTCTATAACCTCGCAATATGTTCGCTACATGAATCATCCTTTATCTCTCTCTCTAGCCTCCGAGATTTCTAACGAGATGTACACTCTACAACTACAGAACATATTCGTTACATGGCTATTTTTCCTCTCTAGGCCAACCAGATTTCCGCTAAAAGGTCCAGCTCAATAATTGATGCATTGTCATGATTGTTGATTCTATCAAACTCTCCTACTTTAACTAATATCACCGAAATAAATTATTTCTCACTTTTCTACCTTATTTCTGTTTTAATTTTCTAGTCTTATATATGTTATGTCTTGTAAGTTTTTGTAGAAACCTTCCTGTCTTATCATGCCTCACCTTGGACACCCACGTAAAAAGTAACCATGATGTGACCCATAAGTTAAAATGATTAGGCTTGTCTGTACTCCCGGGGAGGTTTGATTTTATTAAATTCTTATTGTAATATTTCAATGTATTATATAAAGTTATATG